AACAACACCACCCGGGACGCTGCCCTGGCCTACCACAGGCTGCACCAGCTGCACATCACAGGTGAGCGCCACGCGGTGCCCTGTGCCATCTCCACCCTCGCTTGGTTTGCCAGTTTCCCGCCTCAGTCGCCGCCCCTTGTACACTGCTCTGTTAGATGGTCGGACAGACCTTCCGCCCGCAGCCACAGCTGTGAGGATGCTCAGTACCGTAGTGCATCAGTTTAAGGCACACGCATTTTTTCTCATTATCATCTCCAATTGGGGCTGTGTCCTCTACACAGTGGCATGCCATGTGCCATGGTTGCATTGGCAGTGTTTTTTCCTTAGTGGTACCTAAATTAATGGGGAAGCTTAAAAGTGATGGTATCTTAGATTCAACGAAATTTCACGCAACAAACTCCTGTTCTAACAGAGAGGCAGGCAGGCAGGTCAACAAGTGGATGGCAGCTCACTGTGGTGGAGGGAGCAGACAGATCGGGCTTCCGTGGAGGTGGGTACTTGTTGGGAAGGGTTTCAGGAAAGGCTTCCTGCAAAGTCTTGGCTTTGCATAGAAGGATGCATAGCGTTTACCAGTTCTGCAGTGCTGTGGGCCAGGCGCTGTGCAAGGCTCTGACTGAGGAGACAGAGGTAACTGAAACACAGATCCCACACTGCCCAGTGCCCTCCCTCCCTCAGAGGAGAAAACCCAGTGGGACCGACTCCTAACACCTATGCAGAATGAGGTATGGGGGCTGAGCTCTCCCTACTCCGATAAAAAGAGCGGTCCAGTGGGAAGAATGCGGGGCTGGGTGAGATTGGGAGACCTGCTTGGCCACCGTCTGGACCTTTGACATGGGCCCACTCTGAGGCTCAGCTTTCCCCCTACTGCTTGCCCTGGCCACCTCCCAATCCTGTGAAAGCCTGAGGCTTGCTGGGCCATCATGCCTTTGCAAGGTCACTTCAGCCCCTGACTTCAAGGTCCCCCCAGATGAGCTGTCAGCCCTCATTGAGGAGGGCGTATCAGCCTTTCCTGGCCGTCCAGCTGCTAACCTAAGATGTGTCTGCCATCATTGCTCAGTTTTGTGTTTCTTTCTCAAAAGGGTGCATGGTTATATACCGTGGGGTCTGTTTAAGGGAAAATAAATTCAAATCTGGTGATTTCAAGTTCTTCATGACCTCTCACAAGGCTGGGAGACAGGCTGCAGCACAGAGCACAGCTGCACTGCTGAGTTTTGGAAGATGGTACATGTGCCCGTCTGAGTCCTCTGCAGGCCCCCTTATACAGAACATGGGCATGACAGGCATTTTTGTGTCCCTCTGTGAGGTGGAGAGAAACCTGAAGCTACTAAATTGCAGGGCCCAGCACCCCATCAGGACTGTCTGGTCACAGAGTTCATGTACTTTCTTGTTTGTTTCTGCTGTGACTCTGTGCTAGGAAAGCAGGAAAAGCTCGGCTTGGTGTCTGTTTCTGCCTCCACAGGGAAGCTCCCTGCGGGATCTGCCTGTTCAGACGTCCACATGGCTTTGTGCGCTGTGAACCTGGCGGAATGTGCAGAGGAGAAAATCCCGCCCAGCACGCTGGTGGAGATCCACCTGACTGCGGCCATGGGGCTCAAGACCCGGTGTGGAGGCAAGCTGGGCTTCCTGGCGGTGAGTGCCTTCGGTTCCCTTCTGCCAACCTTCCATCTTCACTGGGCGTCTTCCCCAGCCAGGAGCTAAGATGCAAAAATAGCTGTGGGCCCTGCCCTTGGGTGCTGACCGCCTAGAGGGGTCATTCCATAGGTGCTTAGAGCAGTGAACAAAGCAGACCAAAATGCCCCCCTCGTGGCCCTTACCTGCATGAGCAGGACAATTTGGTGCCAGGCGATAAGATTGATTCGGTATATAGAGTGACCCATATTTGGGAGTTAATATGGGCTCTTCTGCCTTTCAAGTGGTGATAAAAATTCTTGCAATCTTCTGGTCATGTCTTCTGGTTCATTTATTTGCTCAAAAGGTATTTGTTGGGTACTTTGTGTTGGTCACGGCTCTGTGGATCCAGAAATGGAAGCTGGTGCAGGTCTGCAGGGAGCCCAGGCCAGGGTATGATGGCCAGGCCCGGGGTGGTCATCAGGCACCTCCAGTGTCTGGGGTGGATCCAGCCTTGGGAATTCGCAGGCCCTGCTATCAGCTGGCTCCCAGGCTTCCTCTTCCTCCAGCAGACAGGATGCTTTACCAGTGCCCGCTTTGGGTAGGCTGCGGGGCAGTCCGCTGTGTTTAAAGCAGGGTGCTCACATCTCCGTTTGTGTCTGTACCTCAGTAAAGGGACTGAGGAGCTGAGTGTTCACTCAGCAAACATCACTGAGTCCCTGCTCTGGGCCAGGCACTTGTATGTAGTTGTGGCTTGTCCCTTCTCTGTGCTTTATAGTATTCCATTGTCAGGCGGGACTTGTAGATGAACTTTTGAGTTGTTTCCTGGTTTTGGTTATTTGAATAGTGAGTGCTGCTGTGAATGTCCCCGTTCCTCTCTGAGGGAGCACGTGACTGCATCTCTAGGAATGGCGTTGCTGGGTCAGAGGCTCAGCTTTAGTAGGTGCTGCCGAACAGTTTTCCCCAGTGGTTGTGCCGAATTCCACTCCACCAGCAGCGTCCAGTTGTTCTGCATCCTCGCCCAGAAACATGACGGTGTCGGTTTTGGTTTTGTAGCCCTTCTGCTGGTATCTCCTGGTGGTTTTCATTTGAATTTCCCAGCTGATTAATGATGAGACCTTTTCATTGGCCATTTGGATGGTTTGTTGACTATTTGGGTAGTCTCTTTTGAGAAAACCCTAGTCAGGTCTTTTCCCTGTTTTTGATTTGGGGAGTCTGTCTTTTTATGGATCTGAGATCTTTGTAATCTGGCTGCAATCCTTGTTGGATGTGTGCCTTGCGTGTGTCTACTCCAATCTAGGGCTGCCTGTTCTCTCCCTTAGTGGTGTCGATGAATGAGCACAAGTTCTTAATGTTCATGAAATCGAGATATGAGTCTTTCCCTTTACAGTTCGGCATTTTATGTCCTGTTTAATAAATCTGTCCTACCTAAAAGTCCTGAAGGTAGTCTCCTGTATTAGCTGCTGGATGCTTTATTTCGCACTTTTCACACAGAGGCCCATCTCCATCTGAAATTTATTTTTGTATGAATTTAAGGGAGGGGGTTGCAAGATCTACTTTTTCCCATATGGCTATGGCCCTGTCCCAGATCCGTTCTTAAAACAGCTGTCCTTCCCTGCTGTGCCGGGGCCCCTTTTCCTAAAGCAAGGGCTCGTGTGATAGGTCTGCTCTGGATGCTCTAGGCCCGTGGTCGGCAAATTGCGGCTCGCGAGCCACAGGCGGCTCTTTGGCCCCTTGAGTGTGGCTCTTCCTAAGCCTTAGGAGTACCCTAATTAAGTTAATAACAATGTACCTACCTATATAGTTTAAGTTTAAAAAATCTGGCTCTCAAAAGAAATTTCCATCATTGTACTGTTGATATTTGGCTCTGTTGACTAATGAGTTTGCCGACCACTGCGCTAGTATGTTCCAGTGCCCTCACCCCACACTCCGTAATGGCCGAGTCTTACATGTCTTGACATCTGGAAACGTCAGGCCTTTGGCGTTAGTGATTAGTGTTGGCTCTTCACCTTCCCATATAAATTTTGAGATCATCTCGGCATCGCAGCTCCTACTGGGGCTCCTATCGTTCTCATTGCTAAGATGCAGCTGTCCTTCAAAGGGAATTAGAGAGCCTATTTGTGGGAGACGAGTGTGGCAGCTACGGGTCGGGAAAACAGTTCCCTTGAAACTGGTCCTGCCCATCAGCTTCCCACCCCCGGCCTCCCGGAAAATACTTGGTATGTCTGACTAGCAGCGAACAGTTTGATGTGTCTTTCCTCAGAATTTTCTTCCTGCATATACTAATATGTGTGTGCTATAATTTATTTAACATAACCATATCAGAAATTCGTTTTGCCACTTGATTTTTTTCAACCTAACGGTAAGTCTTGGGCCTCCTTTGTCACCTTCGCCTGCAGAGGCACATGGCCCCAGCACGTGTTTGTACCATTGTTGTTTGAGCCAGTTCCTACTGAGGGAGTAAGAAGCAGCGTCAGAGCCGAAACCGGTTTGGCTCAGTGAATAGAGCGTCGTACTGCGGACTGAAAGGTCCCAGGTTCGATTCCGGTCAAGGGCATGTACCTGGGTTGTGGGCACATCCCCCGTAGGAGATGTGCAGGAGGCAGCTGATCGATGTTTCTCTCTCATCGATGTTTCTAACTCTCTATCTCTCTCCCTTCCTCTCTGTAAAAAATCAATAAAATATATTTAAAAAAAAAAAAAAAAGAAGCAGCGTCAGAAGCAGTGCTGCGGGGAGTGTCCTCTCCCACTGCCTGCACCCACTTCAGGTTGCATCTCTAGAAAGCAGTGATGTTGGGTCAGAGGGTATAAATACTATACCATGAATGGTGTTGACATTTTGCGGTTTTTAAGAAGGTGAGGAGAGGGGAGGACCTGACCTTCTGGGCACGTAACTGCCCCTTTCATCCGCTTGCTTATTTTGGGACGGGATAGATTAAAGAGGCCTAGACCAGAGGTCCTCAAACTTTTTAAACAGGGGGCCAGTTCACTGTCCCTCAGACATTCCACACATGCGCACTGCGGGCCCAGGACGAGTCGGCTGCTAAGCAGGACGGGCAGCGGCGGCAACAACACCCGGCGGGCTGGATAAATGTTTTCGGCGGGCCGCATGTGGCCCGCGGGCCGTAGTTTGAGGACGCCTGGCCTAGACAGTACTTTCTTAATGAGGAAGAAGCTTTGGATTCAGTTGAACATATTTAGCAAGTGAGTGCGGCTTAGGCGATAAGCAGAGGCCTCTGGAAATGGTTTAGGCCTGAGGTCCCCTATCTTCCTCAGTTCATAGCACCCTTTGTGTCTGTAGTTTTTTTCGTGTTTTGTCTGGGCTAACAGAAATGCCTAATAATTCTGTGGTTGGTTAGTTAGATACAAATATCTTACAGATATTTATGTTTTAATTTAGTAGCTATTAAAAAATAATACACAAAATTGAAAGGAGAAATTTTTCTTAACCATAGTTACTTACCATTGGGCTGTGTGTGTCTGTTGGGCACCGCACACCTTCTTAGACTTCACAGTCAGATTGGATGCCACCACCTTCATTTCTTGTTGTACATCTCCTTTCACTCAGCACTTGCTTTTTATTACAACCCCCGAAACTCAGCTTCACAAAGATGTGACATCACCAAAGGAAGGTCGTACGATCTCGTGTTGAGATTGAACTACCTCCATCTCATACTGAGCATTGCTGTATTTACCTCAAAAATGTAACATCCAGTTCAACATACACTTCACATTCTGTGTATTGTTTTTCGACGAAGCTTTCTTTTCACTCATCATCTCCGACAAGTGCAACTCTAGCCAGCCGCTGGAAAGTGAAGAGCAGAAATGTGGGCGGGGAGACAGCCCTCTGCCTCCTCTGGAAAAGGGTTGGGGAAGCAGGAGAAAACAAAGGCTAGCAATAAACCGTGCCAGCCATTCCTGTGAACTCATTAACATGAACTCATTTCACTGTCGCAACCATGCCATGAGTTCACTGTGGTGCTTTAGGGTGCCCTTGGCACACTATTTGAGAACCATAAGGTCACAACCTGGAGTTGGACTGGCCCTCAGGATATAAACAGTTCTGAGTGTCCTGCCTCCGCTGCTGGATTTGGCAATTAGCAGATGAGTTATAGGGGAGGAGGCTCCAAGGCCCTGGCTTGGGTAAGCTCTGGTGTCTATAAAATTTAGGGAAATTGTCATAGAGTGATAATGCTAAGAAAATTAAAAGAGCAATAGAAGTTATTTTCTCAATTTCCCTTCTAGAAGCCGTCCTATGGATGACTATTACCTAGGATTTATATTTCTTATTAATTCAAACCACTAAACTGAAACTTCTCCTCCACCCCAACTGAGATTTGTTGTAACTAAGGTTTTTCTTTTCTTTTTAGGGAATTCAGCTTTAAAATGTATTTTAACGTAATGATTTCTAAATGGCTTCTCTGGGTTCCTCTTTCAATGCAACCCAAACAGGCTTATTTCTGCTTCTGCTGGTGGGTGACATTTGGTCCATGTCCTCGGTTTCCCCTGAGCAGCCATCAGGCAGGTACTCTCGGGAGACATTGGAGAATTGGAGAGTTTCCAGCTGTTAGAAGGTTCTCCAACTTCAGGGGCCCTGGCATTGCCGCCGGCCCACCCCCACCCTCCTTGGGAGCCTCGGCGGCTGCTCCAAGCACTGCCATTCCAAGCTCAGGTCCAAGCCCAGATTGAGCAAGCGCTCTCCTGAGGGTCAGGAAAAGGTCTTGGGATCCCTTTGCATTTGCTCTTCAGGACCCTTTTTCAGGCACGGTAGTCAGTGAAGAGGAGGAAAGGCCATAGTGCCACCAGCCTGTGATGAGAGCTTGAAGCAAAATGCCCCACCTGGCCTCCTGAGTGCCGTGATAATATTCGAGTGTGTCTGTAGAGCAATTTGGCCAGGTCGTTTTCTCTCGGATTCAAGCGGCTGTCTCCAGACTCCCATGGAGAGGAGCCGTCTCCTCAGCCGTGTTCCTTGAGTGGCGCATTGGCGATGCTATTTCTGATCCTGACATTCAGGTCTTCTGAAGCCGTTATATTAGCTGATGGCTACTTAGAGCTCAGGAAAGGTCAGAACCATCAGACTGAACCAGACAAGGAGACAGCTGCTCCGCTCATTGTGGGGGCCAGGGTAGAAGTGTGACATGCGGGTCTGTGGGCTGGCCCAGTGCCCTCTGTGGGCTCCTGAGCTCCCTGTGCATTCTTCTCCCCCCCCCCCCCCTGCTTTGTCCCCCCCCCCCCCCGCCCCCCCTCCTACCTTCTGTGCTCATTCAGGTCGGCCTGTATCAGGTGGCTTTATGGGTTAGAAATCATGGGTTTTAGACTGAAGATATCCTCACTTAGAAAACAACAACCCTAGCCCTGTGGTTCAGTTGGTTGGGTGTCATCCTGTGATCAAAAGGTCACCGGTTCGATTCCCAGTCAGGGCACATGCCCAGGGTTGCAGGCTCCATCCCCGGTGCAGGGAGTGCAGGAGACAGTCGATCGATGTTTTGCTCTCCACATCCTTGTTTCTCTCTCTCTCTCTCACTCTCTCTCTCTCTCTTTTTTAAACATAAATGACAGAACTTCTGAAGCCAAGGATAGACAGCATTATCCCTGTGGTTCTTGTTCCTGGGGCCGTGACGTCATTACCCTGCAGGCAGAGGAGAGGCCCAAGGGGCTGGGCTGCTGGCTCTTGAATTGTCCAGCAACGAGGCTTTCAAAGTCTTCCTTGGTCTTTCCTTGAAGGCGGGCCACTGGGCCACTGGCCCTAGTTTCAGGGGTGGCATTTACTTTCAGGGTCCCAGCCTTGCCCTTGCTCTTTCCCCAGCCCGCCGCCACCCCGGTGTCACACGTGGTCCTTGTCCTTCCACAGAGCTACTTCCTCAGTCGAGCCCAGAGTCTGTGTGGCCCCGAGCGCAATGCTGTCCCTGACTCGCTGCGCTGGCTCTGCCACCCCCTTGGCCAGAAGTTTTTCATGGAGCGGAGCTGGTCAGTGAAGTCAGCTGCCAAGGAGAGTCTGTACTGTGCCCAGAGGAACCCAGGTGAGAACCCCTGCAGCCACTGTGAACTGGAGAAAGACGAGACCCACCAGCACGGTGAGGTGACTGTGCCCCGGACCCATGGGGACACAGGATGTCCCAGTCTCGTTTTCCCCGAAGCTTAGGGAGGTCGTGAGCCTGGTCAGCAGCTAAGCTGGGTTTGCAGCTTCTGACAGCCCAAGCCCGTGCTCCGTACATCAATCAGAATGTTGTTGCCCTTGTTCTGGGCGCTTTGGCGACACGGGGACGTGTGGAGTGCTGTTCGCTGGCCTAGGTCCCACTGGAAAGCAGACAGACGTATATGGAGCCGTTAGGGAACAATAGGCGACAGGCGTCTCCACGTGCTCAGAGGGGTGCAGGGACAGGGCTCCAGGCGTCGGGAGACGCTCGCTCACTGTCCCTGGTGTTTGACAGTGATTGGAGTCGACCTGCCAGGCCTCGGAGTGGCAGGGGCTGCATGGGTTGACTCAGACTTGAGTGGCCAGTGGCTTTCTGCTCTCTGTGCTGGTCCCCTCTCTACACTGGGGGTGTGGGGAGAGGGGCATTTCCACAGGGACAGGTGTGTGTGTGTGTTAAACATTTTGGAGAGTAGGAGCGTCCACTATCTTTTAAAAAAAAATAACTTCACTGCTCAATATGAGAATGGTGCACAGCACCAAAAAGTAAAGACGAAAGCAAAAGCCAACCTAAGACTCTCAGCCGCTACCCCCCCGCCCCCTCCCCGCCATCTGCTTTGTCCACACCTGACCTTTCACTGGCTTTCTTACCTTTCGGAGGCTCTGGATCTAGACCTTGTCACCTGGAATGTGTTCATAAGTGTCCTGCCTCCTTGTTCTTGTCAGGTTTAGGCTCACACGTGTGTGTGTGTGTGAGGGGAGGGGAGGGGCTGGTGATGCCCTGCTTTGGGCCTGCGTGGGGGCTTCCAGCTGTCAGTCAGCTGTTGCAAGTGTTGCAGGGCCCCTTATTGATTAATCAGCGCAGCCAAACCGTCGCTGGCCCCAGGTCCTGTGACAAGGCTGTGGAAAGCAGGAGCAGGGTCTTCCTTGTCGTGTCAAGGCAGCTATCGCCTCCTTTTCCTCCTCGGTGGCTTCCTCCTGAGCCTCGGGGAGAACAGTGGCCTCTGAGACTTGGGGCAGCCGTCTGCCTTCCCATTTTCTGTTTTCTGACAAGGCTTGCAGCCACTGGCCTTGAACAGAAGTACTGAGCTCATTGCCAAGGCAGCACACGCACACGCACACGCACACACACACACAACCCACCCACAACCATGCATAGTCTTGGGCTCTGCATCTGAGGCT